CATCATATTTTCCACAGATGAAGTTGTCAGCGCAGGAGGGACGCAGAAGCTCATCAATGTGGTTGTCATCAGCGTGGCCTGTGTCATTGCTGTTCCTCTGACGCTGGTGGTCTGCTGCGGAGCACTGAAACGGCGCTGCAAAAAATGCTTTGTGCGAAAACCCAAGGACGTCCAGGAATCGTACGTCACCTTCGAAAGCCTGTCTCCCGGGGCCAAGGCCAAAGGCGTGGAAGGAGAATACCTGACTAGGCACACCCCTGACGAGTCCAACAGGCTGCTGTCTGCCCGCTCCAGCGTGGACTCGGAAGCCATACCAAAGATAGAGGGACAGCCTAACGAGTACTTCTGCTGACAGCACCTGGGCTGACTGTCAGCTCGCGCAGTGGGAAGCGTGTGGCTTTATCTGGGACTCTGCTCCAGCACTGCAGGCCAGCCTGGCCACGCTTCTGTCTCTCACATGTTCTGGAAGAGTATGCAAGAGGGCAGACTGTGCACAAGCTTTGCAGGACATGTTACTCACACCACTTGGGGTTGGCTGCTTTATACCCAGTCAAAAGCTTCTGTGAGAATGGCCTCGTTCTCCTGGACCACTTTTTTTTTCTCCTGTCAAATGAAGTGTGCACACTAAGTGTGAAGACATTTCTGAGTGTGTTCTGCTTGGTGTTGTTTTGGACCTGCTCTGCAATATGCTATGTATTTTGTTGTCAGCTCTTTTAATGTTGTTTTGGTTGATAAGCCAGAGGAGTGTTTAGTAATTTTAATAAAAATACTTATGAAGGTGAAGATTTAGAGTCTCACCTTTGACATCCCCCATGTTTGCATGAAACATGCAGCTTGGTGCTTAATAGATCACTCAATACAGATGTACAGCAACCCTTTCCAATATGTTCAACATAATCACAACTCCATGCTCTGAATTCAGAGAAATGTGCAAAGGAGATAGAAATTAAGAGACAAACCCCATTCCTAAGAATGCGTAACAGAGAGCATTTGCTGATTGCATTTCGGCCCTAAACTCTGTTCTAAAGATATGGAACAACAGCAAAGGTCTTTCAGTATCAGTCCTAGCTGGCATTTTGTATCTGTATTGTAATTAGTAGAGTATGTTTTATACCAGCTGTGCTAGATAAAAATCATACAATAGGCTACTTTGCACATTGTGTGTGGTGGTGTAATGCTTTGTAATCATACTGGAAAACTTACATTAGAAAATTTTGCAAAAATCTCTCAAACCAGCACTGTCACTGCTGCCTGTGCTCCTGGAAAAACTGATGGTGAAGGCCCACATGATCAGCCAGGCACTTGTGACTTGGTCGTGGTTGCTCTGTGCAGAGCAGGAGAAAGTGATGTGGTGTCAGACCACTGACAACACACACATCAGCCATTCCTGACTATGGTCTCAGTGGTGGCTGAGGCTCAGTGCAGTCTTTTGGGTTTCAAACATTTTACAGATTCAAGGACCCTGAAAAATACCTGTTTAATATTAATCTAAATGTACTTTCATAGTCAGGGTGAACTGATCAGTCATTTAAGTTCTGCAGCTTCACTGGAATTTGAATCCGAGTGCTGATCACAAAGTAATTCCCAGATGTGTTATTTTCCACTCAAGTCCCTCAGGTAGTAACACTGTATGTAACATTTTTCTCTTTGTAATAAATATTATTCATGAAGAAAATGATATATGTTCTGCCAAATGTTGAATGGGAAAGATCCAGCCGAGTTGAAATGCTAATGGATAAAGCCTGCTGAAATGTTCTGAAATGTGTTTGTAAATTTATTGGAAGGACTTCCAGTCACATTCTGGATATGTATGTACAGTGTGGCTTAACAAAATTCACTGGTTGGAATGGAGCACTGTATGGATTTTTCAAGTTCCCCTTGTACAGAAGGGTTTCACTTATGTCAGATTACTTGGCCTGATGGAAAAAGCAAGTCATTTAATCTCAACATAAATACCAGCAACAGGGTACATCACAAGAGTTTCTGATGGGACTCCCTGTATTCCTTGCATTAATGATAAGGAAATTCTCTTGTATTGGGAGAATTTGTCAATCCCTGTATAAAATAATTCATGCTACTGCTGTCACTGGACTGTGTAGATTTTTAGGTTTACAAGTAAAGTTTTGTAAAATTACATATTTTAATGCAACAAATTAACTGATAAAACATGGTATGTAATAGATCTAATCCTTAAAGTTCATTTGATTATTAATTAAATTAAAGTTCAGCCTGATTATTAAGAGTCAGGAAAAAACTGTCTTTCCAGTAGCAGTTTTTGTGCTGAGTTGCAAGGATTGCTGTATATAAGCTTAGGTCCTGCCCACATATGCAGCAGGAGCACTGGGCTGTGCAGAACTCAGCTTACCATGGCCCTGGATGGGTAAGCTCCTGAAGAACCAAAGCTGTCCCAGAGTTTTCCTGTGCTGAACAGAGTGCACCTACTGCCCAAGGACTTTCCTGTAAGTCAGGTCTGCAGGAGCTGACAGGGAAGCAGACGTATTCACTTCTCAGCTAACCAGAGGTGTGAGCTGGGCCATTTGCTGCACCCAGCCCTGGTGAGGAGCAGCTCTCACCTGCTGTGAGCCTCAGTCTGTGAACTGGCTGAGGAGAAGGCACCAGCTGGGCCAGCACTGGCACTCTTTGCTTCTGCTCCATCCAGGGATCATCCTGGGACATTCACTGTGGATGTGTTCAATTTTACAGACTCTATTGGATATTTTTTGTACTTTGAATAAATAGTGATCCCAAACAGAATAAACATGACTTTTCTCATTCCTGTGCCCACTCTCACTGTCTCATAGCTGAGGCACTGCAGTTTATCATCTCAGCAGCTGCTGTTCAAGACAAGCCTTTCTCTATGCACTGGTGGTTCACACACAATAAGCAACAGGTACAAACTTGCACAAGCTCTGTCTTGTTTGGCATTGGTCAGAGGAGAAACCCTGTACCTGCCAAATGATGAGTGAAATTTCGAACCATTAAGGAAGCAGATGTGACTTCAAGACTCTGGGTCAGATTTTCAGTGTTATCAGACATGGAAAGATAAACACCTCTCTGGATTTTCTGTTTTGTTGTCATGGAAGGGTTGTTAGGCACCTAGTTTCAGCACACTAAGGAGCAAACCATTTCTTTCTTGAAATGCTCAAGATGTGCTGTAAGAACCAAAGCAAACATCTGCTCTTGCACTCCCTTTTAACAAGCTTGGACTGGATATTATCATGCCCACTAAACCATATTACGTCAACTCATTTTTTGAACACTTTCACTGTCTGAAACGCCCAACTGCAGCCTTCAATGCTTATGTCCTGCCCAGCAGTGATTTCTAACACTGAAGGCCAAGGCAGAGAGACTAATTGAAAAGCATCAGCCCAGACTTGCTTTCTTACAAGAAGAAATGTCATTTCAAGGTGGAGTTTGACTCCCTGGGCATAGCTGGCAGCACACAATGGGTGATCTCTTGGCATTTGCTTTGGCAATCAGCACAATCTCTTAAACTCCACTTCCCATAGACTAGCAGGAACCGTCTCTGTGGAGATTTATTTTGACAGCTTGAGTTTTAGACAGCTTGTTCTGCTTTTTGGCTTCAGCCAGGATGCCACATGATGTTAAAGAGCAGCTGAACTGAGTGGACATCTGCTGTCACAATTGTGACCATTAAATTTACAAACAGGCATAAACTGGGCTGAACTAAAAAGGCACCAAAATCCCAGTCAAGCAGGGAACATAAGCATAATGACTGTGCCTAACACTGGGGGATTTATTTCCCTTACCTCCCCCTCCCCTCTTTCTCCTCCCCCTTTTCTCTACCCTAATTCATCCAACTTGGGTAAGTGATTCACCACTGGACTCTCAGGTTAATACTGAACCTTCTGAGTACACTCGGAGTTTGGATATATTTAGATAAGTACCCTCTCAAGCAGCAAATAAATATCAGACCGAAAACAGCCAGAGCATTGCCCATGGCACTGACTAACACCACTCTTTGAAAGGCCATTTGTCAGCTCTGTAGAAGATAGGTGGGACTAGCAGGAATTCTCATGTGGGAAAAGAACTGCTATTTTTTTTTTATTGCTTTTTTCTGTTAAGCAAATTATTTATTTTAAATAAGGTATTTCTAACAGAGAACCCTGGATATAATTTTGCTTCCTACATCCCAGGACATGGGGCATTGTGCACCTGTTCTGTGCCTGAAGATGTACATGGTGGGAAACTCCAGTAATTTATAAACCTGTAAATAAGTAACACTTCACTTTTCATGAAAGATTTTTTGAAGATGTGACTTAGCTGCCACATACTTTAAGACCCTCCCCATGGGCCATGCAGGAGGGGTAGGAAGGTGGCAAAGAAGGGCCCTTCCTTTCAAGCAAAGGAGGTTTTGGGCCTTAAAAGCGGTGGATCCCTCTGGCTGTCCCTCCTGCTACCACTGGCACAGCCAAAGCATCCCAATCCAGACCCTCCCTGGTGCCATGTTGTACTTTTTTTCTATCCCACCTGCCTTGAATCCCAGCCACTGATGGGTGTCTCCATCCCTCGTGGCTCCCACCTGTCCAGCATGACTGAACGTGCCAGAGATCTGGGGCCACTGATCCCATCACAGGGACGTGTCCCATCCTCTCTAGAGCTGAACACATCAAGGCATTGATTTTCCTCTGCCTCTGCTAAAAGCCTCCTGGTCCCAGGCCCTGCAGTTCATACATGGGCAAACTTCAGGAGCTGCCCCTGACACACAGGGGTTTTCTAACTGCACCACAAATAGTTTGTTACTGTTATTGCCTGTTGTAAAGGGTAAAATAATATTATTTTATTATAGTAAAATTATATTATTATGGTATCATTATATATTATACTATTCTATGGAAATATTATATTTTTATTTATTATATATTATTTAATATTTTGCATTATTTTATTACTGCAAAATTATAATTTTAATTGTTGTAAAGTGTAAAAATAGAAAATTACTATTACTAAAAAAGAATATAATTGTTTTATTAGGGAATATTTTCATGGCAGACCACAGAAAGAGAGCAAAGACACTGGTGACTGCGGCATTTGCTGGGTGGGAGTGGAGGTCCCTGAGTCGCTCTGCTTCAGTGGCTGATGGATGCTGAGGAAGGACACACCCTCTGATGGCAGCTGCCACTGTTGCTCCTACAACACCCTCAGTTTAGCCAGCCAGCCCTGCTGATGGGTGTTCCCTTTATTGCTTGGGTTACATGCAAGGGGCACAAGGAGTGTGTCTCTCGGGTGACAGGGGCTGCACTGGTGCCACCCCTGCTGCAACAGCAGCAGCTTCACTGAGAAACTCCTCAGCAGCCACCACCCCCCCAGTGGGGGATTTATAGCTGCTGTATCTGCTGTGCTACAGACCAGCAGCCTTCCCCCTTCACTCCCGGCTCACTGACCTGTTTGACTACAGGGCAGTTGTTGAAAAATCAAATACTGCACCATGGACAAACAAGGAATAATTCAGCTAAAAAACCCCCAATCCATAAAAATCCCATGTGCTTGTGGCTAGGTGTGAGGCACTGCCAGCAACAGCATCTCCACAGGCCCACTCCTTGTGGCCTGCTCCCTGTACATGGGGGAAAGAAATAGAGCACTCTACCAGTCCCCAGAAGTTTCTCCACCATTCCATTTTGCTGATTTGCCATGAAAGAAAAGCTCCTGTTGATTTAAACACTGCAGAATCAAGCCTGTGTCTTCCATAGGCTGAAAGCAGCACAAACCTGAGAGCCACATATAGCTCTAAGCTGCCACACTTAAAATACTTTTCTATCCTGGTCCCATAGGTTAGAGGTTAAGCAGGTTCAGGCTAATCTTGCTTTGTGACCCAGCATCACCCACACGGGCAGTGAGGTGCAGCCCTTTTCCCAGGCGTGCTCCTGTGCAGGCTGTAGTGAAACCCATCCACACTAGATGGCCCCAGGAGAACGCAGAACTCCTTGGGAAGCACAACTGAAACCTGCTATTTTGGATTAAAAGAGATCAATAAATTTGGTTACTCAAAATCCCTTCTCAGAATGGCTTAGTTTTTCAAGATGACTGAAAGAGAATAGCACTGAGATTTTTGTATTTATACAAAAGAGATTGACTTCCAAGATACCCTTGTCAGAGAAACCCACAGACTGGCCACAGCCATGTTGCTATTTTCACTACCAACATGTAAGAACGGAGCTACTGTGGGGAGGAGGAGTTGTTTCGGAGGAAAATGGTGCCAGGCACGGTTTAGGGGAGGATGGACTGTGTAGTGGGGCGCTATGGCAAATTAAAGGTGTGAGGTCTGGCCCTTACTGTGGCTTTCTGCCTTGATAAAAGCCATTAAAATATAGCAGAGACAGATGCCATGGAATTAAAAAAAAAAATTAAAAAAATTGGCCTGGTTAGTTTCTTCCAAGGGCTTGGCAAAAGAAGTGGCTTTGGCTCCATCTTCATATTCCCAACCAAATATATGTCTGTCAGAATCCCCTCAGCTGGAGGAGAAATGCCAAGAGTGGTCCTGGAGGTGGTTTTTAGCACTTGGACACAGACTGAGAACCACACTACATGTCTTCCTTAGGGTTGGGTCCCCAGCAGGATTTATTTCTGCGTCAAGGAAGATTACAGCTGATAGGATTTACTTCTTGGAGGCTGTTGGCGTGTTTGGTGCAAAGCCCTGCACAGTGCTTTCTTAAAGGAGAATATGGACCCTGTCTGTCATATTTTTCTTCTTCTTCTGGCCTTCCACAAGATAAACACCTCTGTTTCATCTTGCATCACAGGATGCTCTTGTTCTCAGGACAGCTTTGGAAGGTAAGAACACTGTTACCCCTGCTGTAGCACCAGTGAAGTGGCTCAGACAGCCCCAGTAGCAAATTTGCCGATGATGTGAGCACCAAAACCAAGCAGATTGATGCAAGGTGTGCCACATCTAATACTTGAATTGCTGTCTAATCTAATACTTGAAAGTGCTGTCTTGAGCATAGAATGAGATTTCTCTTATTTCCCTGAGATATATAGTTGCATACATAGCCATTCTTATGACTTAATTGCATTGCTTATGGCAAAATTGGTGTAAACCCTGGGGATGGATGGATGGCTTATGCATGCCCTATATACAATACCTTATAATTATTCAAGTGCTTGTAGACCTGCATAGGGAACTGGTTTATTGGCCTCAAACGTGGTGTGTAACCTGGAAAATTTTCTGGTTTCCTCCCTAGGAGTTTGCTCTGTATGTCTGCACTGCTGAGGCAGATCCCTGCAAACATCCCTCAGGACATCCGGAAAATTAGAATAGAAAATTCTCACCTAACAGAATTGCCTCGTGGGTCTTTTGAGAACGTTAGTGCCTTGGAGTATCTGTGGCTCAATTTTAACAACATCACAGTGATGCACATCAAGAGTCTGGAGTATCTGCCAGCTCTGAAGGAGCTGCGCTTGCAAGGGAACAAATTAAGTTCGGTGCCATGGACAGCATTTCAAGACACCCCGACTCTGAAAATCCTGGATCTGAAGCACAACCGGCTGGATGTCCTTCCAGAACACGCACTCCGCTATCTGCCCAACCTGACCTATTTAGATCTATCCTCAAATCAGCTTACCATCATATCCAGGGATGTCTTCTACAACTGGCCTGTCTACCAGAGAAGCCAGAGGACGGAGGGGCCGCTGGAAGCTATTTCCAATGCCGTCCTGGCTCTCCATGACAACCCCTGGATTTGCGACTGTCGCCTGCGGGGATTTGTCCAGTTTATAAAGTCTGTGGGCCCACCTATTATTCTGATGAATTCCTATTTAACTTGCTCAGGCCCAAAATTCAGGACAGGGAAGTTTTTTCATGAAGTGGAGCTTAACAGCTGCACGAAGCCCCTGACCTCAGCCCTTGACACCAACCTGACAGTCCCAGCAGGATTAAACATCACCCTGACCTGCTTTGTGCAAGCCAGCCCTTCCCCAGCTGTCTGGTGGACCTATGCACTCAAACTTTTAAGGGCATTTAATGGTAAGCAAAGCTTTTTTTTCCTTCTTTTTTTTTTTTTTTTTTTTCCATTAAAAATTTATGCTGTGCTATCCTACTTACATAGGTCTGCAGCCCATCACAGTCACCACAGCAACCCAGCCCCTTTACAGAGCACCACAGTTATTGCAGTGGCAGTAATCCAAATGATCTTAATCATCCTGTGCATCTAAGCACATCTGACCAGCATAAGAAGAGCTGCTTCATGCAGGACATCAGTCAATGATGAAAGGAGCATGGCCCCATTCTTATACAATTATCTTACTTGTGGATTTTAAGAAGTAGCTCTTTCCTCATGATACATAATGTAGGAGTTACTAATCCTATATTAGTTGCATATATTTAATAAATATATAGTTATCTAAATATGCATGTATATTTACTATATATCATATACTACATAATTTTTTTGGTCATATACTACATATATATATGCACACACTGCATAATTTTATGTGCATGTTGATGTGTTTGTAAGAGTGCACACACATATACAGACCTGTATGCTCCTATACTATCCCCACATATTCCCTCAATACTACACAAACCACAAAACTGTCTGTGTCCATTCACGTTCTGAATGAACTGAAACAAAGATTGTGTTTTCCTGAAGTCTTGCTTATTTATATTCTTTAGCAAAGGTGTTGTAATATGAGACCTTTTTCTTTTCCTCCCAATCCATCCTCCCTCACATTTATTTTTACTAAGAGCCTTCAATAGGACAAGTTGCTATTTTCAACGGGTAAGGTAATAAGACATACAAGCAGCCAGCACACAGGTTCTGTGTCCTTCATAAGCCAGCTTACTAAATAGGATAGCATTAGCCCCTAATCCTGGGCTGATATTTGCTTCAATTGCAGTGCTGTAGCAGCACTTGTGTGTCTTTCCACAAGCACATGCTGATTAATTACATACAGTTTTTTCTCAACCACAGTCACACACCTCTGTTTGGGTAGATGACAGGGTTTCACACTGTTCTTAACACTGCATTTCACTTCCAGCCCAATACTTTCTGGCTTCATACACCTATTTTGGTCTGATCCTCCTGAGACTGACATTTTTAATCCTGACAGAGGATGGATGGAGCATGTGTCCAAAATGTAGGTGTGCCTCCTCAGCGCCTCTCCTGGTCTGCGCTGAATGCTGATGGCAGATGGGCAGCTCGGCCTGTGCCCACAGCAGCTTCTCCAGCAGATTGTTCTGGTTCAGGGGTCGGACACACTCCACGTTTCCCATGCTTGGGTGTCCCAGCGCGTTACCGCCTTTCAGACAAACACTTTGCTCTCAGCTCTGCGCACATTCCCGTGCCCCTCTTCCTTTCTCCCTGGGCAGGGCGGGTCCTGAGTGGGCCCCGTCCTACACCGGCCTTGCGGCTGCCCAAGGGCACGGTGGCTCCCTGCTGACCGCTCACCTCTGCCCGCAGTGTCCACGGAGCCCATCAGCGACGACACCGTCCGCTCGGAGCTGCTGATCCCGGCGGCACGGCCAGCAGACGCCGGCAACTACACCTGCACGGCGGCAAACTTCCTGGGCAACACCTCGGTGGCCATCAACCTCCGCGTGGTGGCCCCGTGGGCGTCCACCACGCCCCGCGGCTGGGCGCCCGCGGCCCCCGCGGAGCCGGGCGCTCACGTGGAGGTGCGCATCGCCAAGCAGACGGTCTACGGCATCACCCTCGAGTGGTTCGCGGCGGCGGCGGCGGCGGCCGAGCCGGGGGAGACTTGGTACACTCTCCTGGTGGGCCGCTATGACGCCGCGCAGAAGGACACCATCTACATCGGGCCCGGGGTGAACACCTACTCGGTGACCGACCTGCTGCCCGCCACCAAGTACGAGGTGTGCGTGGCCGTGCGCAACCAGGCTCCCCGCAAGGGCCAGTGCGTCGTCTTCGTCACGGGCAGCGACGTCAGCCAGATGGAGCAGCGCGAGAAGCTCATCCACATCGTGGTCATCGTGTGCGCCATGGTGCTGGCCGTGCCGGCCGGCATGT